CCCCGCCCCGTCCCCCGAGCGCCCGGGGCACCGGCACCGACGGCTGCGCGGCGGACAGCGCTGCTGCTGTTAAATCCTCCCTCCCTCCCATTTGCCCTTTTGCTTTTTTTCTTTTTTCCTCAAGGGCTTTTTTAACTCATAAAGTGTTGCTCTGGCTTGGAACTTGTCATAACAGCAGCCTGCTTTATTTATTGGGTTATTTCTTTCTTTTACGCGCAACTATACCCTTAATGTAGCCCGATTGAAAGGAGATTCCAAAAACAAGAAAGAGACAGAGAGAGAAAGTGGGAAAAAACGGGAGGGCAAGAAAGACAGAGAGAAAGAAAGAAAGAGAGAGAAAGAGAGAAATAAAGGAAAAAAGAAAGGAAGGAAGAAAGGAAGGAAGGAAGGAAGAAAGAGAGAAAGCAAGAAATAAAGGAAGGGAGAAAGAAAGCAAGGAAGGAAGGAAGAAAGAGAAAGAGAGAAGAGAGAAAGAAAGAAAGGAAGGAGGAAAGATAGAAGAGAGAAAGAAAGGAAGGAAGGAGGAAAGAGAGAAAGAGAAGAGAGAAAGGAAGGAAGGAGGAAAGAGAGAAAGAGAGAAGAGAGAAAAAAAGGAAAGAAGAAAGAAAGGAAGAGAGAAGGACGAAAGAAAGAGAGAAAGAGAGAAGGAAGGAAGGAAGGAAGGAAGGAAGGAAGGAAGGAAGGAAGGAAGGAAGGAAGGAAGGAAGGAAGGAAGGAAGGAAGGAAGGAAGGAAGGAACCACGCATGCCAGCCCTTCAAAATTAAAACAAGAAGTATTCTTTTTGGTATTAACATTACTTAACACTTGAAACTCCGGGAACTTCAAACAAACTTTTTGCAGGGAAAAGAAAGAGAAAAGAGCTGTTCTCTGGCAACCATTTGTTCACAACTCGAACTGTGCCGTTTTGGCTTAGAGACAAAGCTCGAGACGCCCAGCCCCACGCATGCCAGCCCTTCAAAATTAAAACAAGAAGTATTCTTTTTGGTATTAACATTACTTAACACTTGAAACTCCGGGAACTTCAAACAAACTTTTTGCAGGGAAAAGAAAGAGAAAAGAGCTGTTCTCTGGCAACCATTTGTTCACAACTCGAACTGTGCCGTTTTGGCTTAGAGACAAAGCTCGAGACGCCCAGCCCAGCCCCCCCCTCCCCCCAGCATATATCTTTTCAGCACACATTTTAAAATATCATTTTAAAATAGGCTCAGTTTTAATCTGTTGCTGCAGAGAATAAACTGAACTTTACAGTTGGTTCCCCAAACTACAGTCATTATACCCTCTCCCCCTATTGTGTAGCAAACCCATCTCTCAGACATTTAGTGTCAGTTCTCACTAGTCACAAATTAGATCATACCTTTTCCGACACATATCCAGCAGGAAAACATTGAGTCCCGTCTCTTTTTCCTGCATTAGTTTGAGGATGTTCTGGACACACAAACAGTTGGCAGATCGGTAGGGATTTGGAGCATCAATAGGAACCATGAAACTGTTCCCATAGTTTTCGTAGCCATGGCCAGCATAGTACAACAAACCTGAGAGTGCAAAATATAGGTGACTGAAAACGCAGTTCAAGAGTTATTGGAACATTTCTGTAAATCTTAGCACAGCCAAAACCTTCATGCACTATGTCCACAGTATTTGTCTGTGGGACATTATTATCATTCAAGCTACTCCAAGCAGGTTTTTTTTTTTTCATATCAATATGCCTATGTTAATACAGGAAGGAAGGGAAGGGGGGTGGGAAACCATGTTAACATCAACTTCACAATACAGACACACCAAATTTAAAAAAAAAAAAATTAAAAAAAAAAATAAGAGGCAGCAAGCATTGACAGCGTGATCTCCTGGGTTGAAGCTTACAGCAGGTGTCAGAGCTCTCTTCGGGGAGAGTTATACACAGATGTCTCGATGTATCTACGATTAAAGAAAATGACCGCTCTGCCTATTTCAAACCACGTGTGCGCGGCAGAAATACCAGAGAAATGTTAAACTTTTAAACACCTTCTGTGCTTACGTAGCTGAGACTCAGCCGGGACACAGCGAGCGACCTTATCGTGTTGCAATCTCTTGTCTTGTCGCCTTCCGTCAGCCGCTGCGGTGCGAGCTATCGCTGCCGGGCTTTAGTGAACCGTACCCTTTTAATCTTCGGTTAGCGGCTGCCTGCTTAGGGCTAGACAGGTCAAAAATATCTGTGTTGTCAAAAAGCAGAGAGACGCGTGGGTGATGGCACTGCGGACGGCGCAGTAAATGCAACAGCACTGGCGTCTGTTACGACGGCCGGCCGTCAGAAATAAAAAGGATGGCCAAGCACACGCGTGAGGGGATTTACCGCTGGAAAATGAGTTACAGTCACCTTATGCGCCCCTCGCCTCCCTGCACCCAGCGTCATATTCCCTTCCCTCAGCCAAGGAGGAAAAAATATTGAATAAAACCCCTCCGAGCTCGTTGTCCGGCCGAAGACCCCCGCGGGCTGAGCCACTACCCCGCGGCAGC